CCCCAGATCCTGGGGACACGATCTTCCGGCTATAAGGGTAGGCACTCGCGATGTACAAGCATCCGACGATATCCGATGGCTCGGAGTACACCTTGATCGCGGTCTAACCTTGGAAAGTCACGTCGCAAAGTGGACCAGTAAAGCAATGCGGCTAGTGCAACACTTCCGACGGCTCACTCAGTGCACCCAGGGACCAAGGCCCGACTTACTAACCACAGTGATCCGCACGGTAGTCCTGCCAATTGCGTTGCACGCAGCGGAATCCTGGTACCCGGGACCAACCAGGGAAACATATCGGGGTGTCGCGCGAAATTCATGTAAGAGACAGTGCAAAGTTATTGACCAAACTTCTGCCTCAGAAATTTACGTGGCTCTACCAACCTGGCGCACCATGCCCATAGCAGCCCTGAGAAGGGAGACTGGCATTCTACCAGCACACATTCTGCTCGAAGAACGCAAGCTCAAGACTGCTGCACGAATCCGAAGACTAGATGAGTACCATCCGCTTCGACTTCGGGCCACGGAAAGCACAGACAGCGCTCGCCACCGACTCGGACTAAAGACATGCAACAAAAGCAGACTTGGTCTGGATAGAGTTCATGATTCGAGGGTCCAGAGGATGTACCGACTTCTGCCGGAGGCTGAAGAACCTCCACCGCTCCGACCTCCGGTCTCCCCTCAGCTAATTCCCTGCCGGACAAGCAAGAAAGAGGCTGCCAAGTTCATAAGAGAGTGGCTACCTACACTCCCACCGGACTGTCTCTGCGTGTACAGTGATGGTTCTGGGGCGTCCACCCACAAAGTTTCATGGGCCTCTGTGACCTTTATCAGCGGCACAGGCACGGCAATAGAGCAAAGCGGCTCAGGTAAAATTACCAACGCGGAGGTTCATGGAGCTTTGGCCGCTCTAGAAGCAATTACTTCCAAAAATCTAGATCGAGGACGCAGCGCCATCTATCTCCTGCTCGACAATTCTGCGGCTGTTAAGGTCTTACTGACAAGAACAAGGGGCTCATCATCATGGCGCATCCAAAAGTTCGTGAAACTGGCCGCGGGATCAGCCGCACCTGTAAAAATAGGATGGATCCCTGGCCACGAAGGGCTAGCAGGAAATGAAATCGCTGATGAACTCGCTCGAAGAGAGCCCAACTCGCCGGAAAACTCTAGGACGACACATGATGTGATGACCCTCGCCTCATCTGGACGGAAAGCCCGTGATCTGGCAAGGCAGATGTTGACAGACTGGTGGCACTCGAATCGCCCCAGACACCACGCCGACCTTGAACTCGAGATGCGGCGCAAGAAACCGCCAGAACTAGCGCTACCTAGAGCGGTCTATGCCCGCTTAATCGCTGCTCGAACTGGACATGGGGATTTTGCGGCATATCATCGCCGCTTCAACCACACTGACGCTACACTTAACTGCGGGTGTGGAAGGGAAAAATCAATTGATCACCTTGTCCAGTGTCGAAAAGCACTGGCAACATGGCGGCTGAAAAGCGGAAAGTGTAGGGCGCCGGCTCTGGAAACGATGCTCGGATCAAATGGATGGCAGCTATTCAGGGATTACGTCCAGGAGAGCGGAATATACGCGGAGGCTAGTCGGGGGATGACAGGGATACCTGTGACCCGGCGGTGATAGAACGAAAACCTAGTTGGTTTGGCATGGAAAGAGGGATAGGAATCGAGGCTCAGGCGCGCGGTGGCTGAGGCAGAACGATGGAAGGGAGATTGTTTAAGTTTTTCTTTTGTAATGCGGGATTTCGCGGGAAAGTTTTTGTTTTGTTTTCAATTCTGGGCTGCTGAGTTCGTCATGGTTCAACACATAGATGCATTTTGGCATGGTTCCGGTCATTTAGGTGGGACGAGGCATTTGTACTGCACGGTAGTTAATCTGATCCGGCCCGACCCCACTCGTGCTCAAGCTCCAGTAGGAGTGCGACGGTAGCTACTTCACCTAGCACGTTAATGAACAAACAAAACGCACAATTCGAGAAATTCGAAAATTCCCAATTTCACTTTTCCCTTCTCATGATTATTCCTGTGCTTGAGTTCTCGAATTGATGACCATCGAAAGGCGTCCCAAAATGCCTCCGATGAAGAGCAAACGACCAAAGTCGACCATTTCTGTCGGCTTTGAACGGACACACATGTGTCCAAAACCTCCTGGCCTCGCGCAAAAATTATCAAGCTTATTTGCGAGTAAGGCCTTTGTCCCAGGGAAGTCTTCCACCCTTCCCGACCAAGAGATGACTGATTCTGATCCGATCAGAACAGAAACAAATAGTCAACAGACCGCGAAACCCGCCGAGCTGGCCCTCGAGGCAAGCAGCTCCAGGAAAGGAAATGAGATCGTCAGAGAAAGGACGACCGAACGTGCTGAATCGTCTGCCGGAAAAAATGCTGTGCCAGCCTCAAAAGGCGCAGCATCGACATCAGCTATGGAGTTTCCTCCGGAGCTGCAAACCGTGATGGAGGCCGAAAAGCGACGTACGACGCAAATTACAGCCCGCCTCGCCATCTGCTCGACTGCGATAAACAGTGTTGAAGCAGCACTTTCGCCTCTTTCGATCGGCGAAAATAAAGAATTCGTAGACGGAATCAAAGTCTACCTACGAGCAGCTATTGGCCAGTTCGTTCAATCCTGTCCAGGAAGCACACCACCAGTCCTTCCTGCCCGCCCCGCCAACCCTCTCTCACCGAGGGCTCCAGAAATTAGGGCACCTAACTCTACGAAAACCCAGGCTCCGGCCCCAAAGACAACTTGGGCCACCGTAGCTCGGGCAGGCCTAGTCAGTAGCGCTGGGCCATCGACAAAAAAGGCAGCACCACCCGCCCCCAAAGCAAAGAGTGCCAACTCGAGGACAAAAGCCGATTCACGACTTTTTCTGCGCCTTGACTACTTCCACCCCCACCGTCTCCTCTCCCCAGCTGGAGTAAGGCTAGCGGTGTCTCAGGCGCTGGGAACCGCTGCCAACAATATCACGTTGGTTCAGCGGGTAAAGACCGGCTTTGCAATAACCGCAAAGGATGAACTCGCTCGAACAGAGCTCCTAGATTCCTCCACATCACGGAGCGAATCTGGAATCAAACTGGAACCAGCATCAAATCTGGTTGCCATGCAAATTGCCACCGTCCCGGAGACAATTCGAACTCTTGCTGGCCCAATCGCCGTGACGGCAAAGATGGTTGCCGACGAAGTCACGCGAGTGACCCAGTTGGTTCCCTTTCTGGTTCGTCCTCATGGGACTAGCAAACCAGGGGCGCCCTACTCAAATTGGCAAGCGCTCTTTCCCCGAGAATCCGCTCCTCAACCTGGATTCCGCCTTTTCGACGACTCTGGAGCTGCAAAGCTCTTCCGACCTCGTCGCAAAATCGAACAATGCAAACGGTGTCTTGAATTTCACGCCACCCGTGGCTGTTCCCGGGCTCCAGCTTGTTGAAACTGCGGATCTAATATGCACTCAGAATCAGAGTGCAAGGCCCTCACCCGGTGTCGAAACTGTGGGGGACCTCGCCGATCGGATTCCCGGGCCTGCTTAGCCAGACCCAGCAAGTCCGGACCGGTGAAAAAAGAGCAGTTCGCGCGGATCCGCCAGATCCAGCAAGGGGAGTTCGCGAAAGTGGCTCGATTTAGCGCTGCAGCCAAAAGGGCCGAAGAGGCAACGATGGCCTCAACGAAGGATGTGTCGATGGCCGAGGGATCAGGTTTCGGAATCCTGGGATCCGAAGAAGAAGTTTGAGGGTACAGCAACCCTCGGTGAAGTCTACAAAAAGCTTCAATATATATAGCAGGATACCAGCTGAATTCAGGGTATCTGCGAACTAGTCTTTCGCTCTCAGCGGAGATAAGAAAAAGTCACCTGGAAGATGTGGCAGGAAAGGGAACGGGCGAGAAGCGCGGGATCCGGACCAAACAGTATTTCCTCCAAATTTGATTTCAGTTTTTGATTTCAGTTTTTGATTTATGTTTTTGATTTTAGTTTTGCTGTTAACTTCTACAATTTCAGTAGAAGTTCATGCGGTTGGAATGAGTTGGGCCTGTACGCAGTGATCCTTGCCGGTTTCACCGGTCCTTGACCCAATGTGGAAAAGTTAGCGTTAGCCTAGGACCAAAAGTAAAAAAAAATCAATCAATCAATCCAGGCTCTGCAGACTCTACAGTGAGAGCTGCAGGCTTGAAGGGGACATCGCTGATAGGCGTTGAGTATTTGCACATCACACTTGCGATTGAAGAGCGCATAGAAGAAAGGTCTGGTCTGCAATTTTAACCACTCCCATTACGAGTCACGACAACATCTGATTTTCGCAGGAGGACCGAATTCTCAATACAGGTGTGCAGGCTACGGAAACAGATAAACCTCTAAACGCTTGTTGTGTAGACTCACTTCAGGTAAGATTCTGTCGTCCTGTAACGTCAATGAGGGGTTATTGTGGAAATGTCAGGTAGAATAACAGATATTCTCAATTAACGAGCAATCTTCGGCTCACTCATCAGAACTATTAGAGTAGATGACTCCTAATAAAACAGATCACCTGCTATTCATCGACCAATTCAAAGGAATTTGGCGACTAGTCCCTGAATATGATAATGCCTGACTCGGCAAAGCTGGCAATAGTAATGAAGGATATCGGCCTACCCCGACTCCAGTATGAACCGAAGGAGTATCAAAGGCGATATCTCAAAAGTACTGGCTCGATCACTAAAATTATATGGACCCAAAGGCTAAAAGACCTGTCAAAGTTTGAACCTATTCTTGACATGGCCAAGATGAGAGTAATGGGATGTAATTAACGGACTAGAAAGCTCCACACATCTAGTTGTTGTGTATTTTCTAATACCGAGTGCAAGAGTCATTCAAAATGATAGCCAAGCAAGATAAATTAGCACACACATATACAAAAGCTGAAGCTCTTCGATGACCCAATATTCTGCACTACATTCACTTTCCGTCATCTGACATCTATCGCTCAAGTCAGGTCGGGAAACATTTATCACCATGAGGTATTATATTATAGCCTTGATCCTTCAGAGCGTCAGCCTGTCTGTCGCAAAACTGGAGAGTTATCAAACGCCTCATATAACTGAGGACCTGAAATCTTTTAGATGTGATGGGAGAATCTACGATAGTCAGAAGTTACAAAGCTTTAGTGTTGTGGTTATGAGCTGTGAGGTATATAGCAATTATGTCTCTGCTGTCCGTCGGTGGAATTACACGGACTCATGTGCAATGGTGAGTCGCGGAGATGGCGCGCTCACGCTGGGTGATGGCACGATGGACACTGAGTGCGTATCACTGTGGCCAAATGGGTGTCAGTAGGTATCAAATGTGAACTCTTACTGACGATGGTGATCTATGAAGGTGATGCTAGATGTGCATCCCGACGATTGATAATATCATCTAATGGATGATGTGAAGTATGATATTATATGGATAGATTGATTCACTAAACTCAGCAGGTGAGGAGATTGTAGAGTACATGAACAGCGTCTGTGCACCAGCCTGTATTTTCCACCCTTTCCTAATCCAGCAGCCTATCCTCCGTTCCCTTGTCTCCTAACAACTCAAACGAGCCAGCACAACATTTAGAAATCCCCATGGGAGGTTTGAAAATGAAAATGTATTAAATATGGAGATCTGCAGACGATTTTCTCAAATCGCCAGCGCGCAAGACCCGAATCAAAAACTGATGTATGTTGATGATAGCAGTACAAACTGTAGTCAATCACTCTTAACTCATATAGACCGTATGGGTAAGCGGTTCCCCCCTTTGAGTTGCCACATAAAGACTTACAGCATCACACATAATACGAAACAATCCAAGACTACATCGTTCACGATAGTCAATCGCGAGTCTGTGCCGTCATTACTATAAATTATAGTAGAGGACGCGACCCGCAAGAAAAGTTCTGCCAATTTATTCATTGATTTACGTACTACTAGGTTTAGCTGTTGTTACATTAAATCATCCATCATGTTTGAATTTTCTGCTTCACATACGGTTACAGATATGGAATTTTGGTTGATTTCGTGCTCATGAGGGTGCTGAGAAAATATACGTCGGAGCTTAGTTTTAAACTTTGGTGTATCTGTCTCTATGGTTGGCTTCATGAGTGAATGAATATTTTATTCGTGACGGGCACGAGCCCCGCACTCAAAGAGCTTGACACGGAGATTAGCTTCTCCGACGACTATATACGACGATAACTCAGGTTGACATTTGGACTATTCATTTAGTGGGTGCATTCGCTGATACCACTCGAGACCTTGGTGCTAAGGACTTTCACCCTTCCCTCACCCGTTAATATCCACCAAAGGTAAAACAGGAAAAACCTTTGACTACCCTGACATGCCTTTATAATCTTGCATATGGCCATCGCGCGAGATATGGCCTCACAGTCCTCCTTTTCTCGAATAAGGTAGGTGTCCAGGCTACTAAGACTTCAATTCGAGAAGATGATGACCAGGAGACAGAGCAAAGCACCTTCCATTGTTGCCTGTTTTTAGAGTGTCGGTAGCACTATCCAAAATCGTTGCTTCTGCGCCCACAGACTCCCTTAAGTCGAGAACAATCAAAGAATATGCGTCCCAGCATGCTCATTTTTGCCCCCTTCACTGGCTCGTCCCATGTTCCAGCTGCCTGTCCTCCCTCAAGATGTGAAGCCTCAGTAGAGCAACAGCCCCCCATAGACCAAGACCTAAGCTTTGTAGATTATGACTTAATTTCCTCCTCGCGGGTATACATTTCCTCGTAACTTTACAGTGAGAGATTGTCGATTTTCGATGAGGCAAATGCCCGATTGCAATTGGAGCAACGTCATTATCGGTATTTGAGGCGAGGTGGCGTAGTGAGATTGATAGGTCTCTTTTTTTTTTTTTTTTTTTTTTTTTTTTTTTTTTGCATCAGATTTTAATTGCGTATGCAGCTATCTAGCTATGACACAATATCAGAGAAGTGTATGATAGATGACTCAATTTACAAGAAGAGCACTCATGCCTCGGATTTCATTTGCAAGTACCACTGCGAAGTTATGGTGGCTTTTTCTTCACCCCAAGTCAACCCTCATCCGTGAATACCCACCCAGGGGAACATCTCAAAAACCCTGGGTTATCCAGACATGCCTCCATCATCTTTCAACCTTTCTCCGCGCGATATGTGATCTGAGGTATCTCCTTCCCAAGTGGAGTAGGTGCCCAGGCTACTCAAACTATACCAGAGAACACCACCAGGAGGCGGACCACAACACCTTCCATCGTTTGCTTGTTTTTATAGTGTCAACTGCACTCTCGCAAGCGAAGTCTTGGCGCGCACAAAGCCCAATTCGAAAAACTCCTTGCCAAAATTCGGAATTTCACGCCCTTCGAGGTTTTATCCTTCCTTCGTATCATCATGTCGACTTATCCTGATTCCTCTCAAGTCCATCTCAAATAACTATCTCCCAGATTTGTGCGCCACGCTTTGCTTCCTCCGTCGGGTATAAATATCGGCGTGGGCGTGTATTTGGCGGTCAACTGAGGCCAGAGAAGGTCGAAGAGCGGTGTGGTCATCGGGATGAGGATGTACTTGGTCGTACTTGTAGACTTGATGAGACGAAGATAGGAGTCAAACTCGTTGGGAGCGAAACAACGACGTGGATAAGTAATTTGGATTTTTGCCTCGTGGGCCAACTTCTTTGATATTGCGAAATTTGACTGAACTTGGCTCTGGGAGAATATTTCACTCCCAGGTTCGTAGAGGACACCGCGTACAGGTGTTCAGTCTTGCCCTCCATTGATAGGTCTCACATTGACGAGAAGTCGTTAATTTGACACATGCTTGAGGTTGCTTTCGACTTCGATTCGGAAGCGAATCTTCTTGGCTTTTCTAGATATGCAGAGCACACTCAACGATTACACCGGCTTCACTGGAAGGTGGAGAATCCACCCTTGCCGGAATCGAATCGAATTATGCGCGGTGATCTAGCACGGGCAATGAAAATTGTTACTCGTAGCTAGGAAAATCTGAGAAGTAATCTCATGGTACTACTTGAGTCATGGACGATCCAGCACATTGAGCCCCTCTATGACCCAGGCCATACTGTGTACAGCGCATCCTGCCTCTTTTTTTTATTTTTAAATCATTTAATGTGTATTCAGCTATAGAGCTATGACACATGACCGGTGCTATGTATACTTGTAGGATGACTCTTTTGACGTTAGAGATACTCATACTCTGGATTTCATTTGCAAATACCACTATGAGGTATGCTTGCTTACACAAACAGTCGACTCTCCTCCGTGAGTAACCACAAAAGGGAATTTCGAACCCTTTGGTTATCCAAGCATGCCTTCGTCATCCATGTACACCAGCACCGCGAGAAATGTGATTGTATTTTGCCGGATTCGAACCAGCGATCGACTGTCTCAAGTGGGATATGTGTCCAAGCTATCCAGACTCTACTTGGCAGACCGGCCAAGACGATGTACCACCGCACCATCCAGCCGTGGCGGTGTTTATTGTGTCCCCTGCACTCTCGCAACCGAAGTCTTGGCACGCACAGAGTTAAATAAGTAAAGACTCTTTGCTGTAGTCCGGATTTCAACGTCCATCGTGACCGTGTCCATCCTTCGCATCATCTTATGAACCTGTCCTGACTCCTCCCACGTCCATCCCAAATAATTGTCTCCCAGATTAGTGCGCTACGCTTTGCTTCCTCCGTCGGGTGTAAACATTGGTGTGGGCGTGTATTTGGCGACCAGCTTAGGCAAGAGAAAGTCGACGAGAGGTGTGATCATTTGAATGAGGATGTACTAGGTCGTACTTGTAGACTTAATGCGGCTTAGGTAGGAATAGATTTCGTTGAGAGTGAAAGATTGATATGGTGGAGTATTTTGAATCATTGCCCCGTGGGCCAACTTGTTTGATGTTGCGAAATTTGACTGAACTTGGCTCTGGGAGAATAATTCATTTCTAGGTTCGTAGAGAACAACCCGTAGAAGTCTTCAGTCTTGCCCTCCACCCGGCCCACTTGATAACCCCAATCACTCGAACCGTTAAAAGTTCTTGCGATTTTCCTAGTTGCCATAAACCCGCAAATAGCCATCGTTTTTGTTGGAAAAAACAGGAGTGATAACTTCTTTACTACAGTAATGAACTTTATCGTTAGTGTTAATTGTATATTTCTATACCTCTCTCCTCTCCATGTTATTTCACAAACTTCGTGACTCGGAGATCTGATGACTAATCATACAACAAATACTAAGTGGCAATCACTCCAGATGCAAACGCCAGTAACCAAGCCCAATAAATACAATGACAAAATTAATATCCCGACAGTTTCGTCGGCTGGAGAGGAGAGATAATGAATGGCAAAGGGCTCCTCTGAGGGAATGATCGAATAAAGGCTTACGAGCGGTGGAACTGTTTGAGGGGAGTTGTATGGGAGGCATAGGAAGGGACCATACTACTGGTAAAGGTGTCTTTGGCCTATAGGCAAAGAGTGCCTGCATGTCCTATGTAGTCTTAGACTGAAAAGGGTCAGTAAATTTATGACAAAATAGTGATATCTAATCTAGAAGCTACTCTGATCTTAGTTTTCTCAATATAGACAGTTTAGTCGGCGTAGATGATATGATCTGCTGGTATTAAGGGTAGAAGGCCTAAGTCTTCTATTCCTAGTGCACATTTAGCCGTTTCTCCAAAGATTCTTTGACGATGTTGATCAAGCGTTCGTGTCATCGCTGAGTGTTGGTTACTTGCGTATAGATTCGTGGACCTGGTCTATCGCCGTTTTGTTGTATACAAAGGATAAAGTTTATGGATCACTGATATGCTACAGTTACGAATTGACAGTCTTGCATCCTCACTGACACTTTGTTTCCTAGTGCAGCATCTAATTTAAAGTCTGATTTGATTCATGCAGGTTATAGAACATGATAGAGAAGGCGAGTATTGTAAAAAGAATATACTGGTTCAACTAATTTCTATTAAGGGCTGGGGAGCTTCGCTACATATATACTACAATAGTGGGTCTAAACATCATAAAGGACACATGTTAATCCTGATTACTAGGATTAGTCCTGTATTTCAACAAGTATATCAATCAGTGATTATAAGGTGTTGAGATTGCGACAGTACAATTGAGGTTGTATAAAGATTTGCACTTCTGTGGAACTCAATTGTATGAGGGTTTGTTTCATTAATTACGATTATTATTTGTTTTTGTCCATCTACAAAGAGCGTGTTGCAGCTCTATGTAGGCCCGTAATCGCTTTACTTTGGCTAGTGACTTGACCCCTATTTTACTACACTCCCGTGTTCCGTAACATGGGTGTGGATAACTGCTCACTACCAAGTCCGCAGGTTGGACAGCATTATATCACAACACAACACGTTCCATTCCAACGAGATATCTGTAAATCCTACAACATTAGAGTGGTACTGCCTACCAATTATTCGAGTCTTGAAACTGAAGGCGAATGGTTTAGTGTGTAACACCGACATCATATGGTCAAGAGTTGGATTCTGATGCTTCAAGTACTCTACTGGAATTGCCTAAGTACAATACCCGGTGAATTTTTGCTGTTTCCAACATTGATCTCAACATTGACAATAGAGCCTGGTTCCTCTATTTTCTCTTTCAACCTCTCCTGATTGGATTCCAGCTTGTGGGAGCTATCCCTGGATGCTGCTTGTAGCAGTCTCTGTTGAGGTGATTGTGCTTGCAGAGCTGGCACCTCTCATCCTCATACTCTATCGTATTATGGGCCAGTCGATTATTGCTATGTCTTACGACCGATGTTACTGGACCCGATAACTCAGGCCTTTCTCTAACCCGCCTGATACTCGTCATCATCGTCTGAAGGGACATGTAGGAGTTGTCGGCTGATGTAACCCGGGTCTGTCTCCATATTTCTAGCCAGGGGACTTCTTCTGTACCAAGCGCGAA